GAAGGATAATTTTGCAGCATGATTCATCTGTGGTGTGTTGATAGTTGATGTAATCAACTGCGAATCTTTGCATTGAACTCAGCAAAATATTTCAAAGAATCTTTTGGGAAATTATTCAGTTGTCGGGACTTGATATTTGATGTAATCAACTCCAAATATTTGCTTTGAGTTGCACAAGACATTTGCAAGAATATTTGCAAGAATGATTCATTTGCTTTGCGTTGATAGTGAATGTAATCAACTCCAAATCCTTGATTTCAATTGAGCAAAGTATTAAAAAGCATATTTTGGTGAATCATTGATTTGTCGTGTGTTGATGGTGGATGCAATCAACTCCAAGTCGTTGATTTTAATTGAGCAAAGTATTAGAAAGAATCTTTTGGACAATTATACATTTGTCGTGTGTTCATAATTGATATAATCAGCTTCAAATATTTGCTTTGAATTGAGTAAAGGATTTGAAGTAATCTTTACAAAAACCATTCATTTATCGTGTAATGATATTTGATGTAATCGATTCCAAATCTTTGCTTTCAATTGAGCAAAATATATGAAAGAATCTTTGGAAGAATTATTCATTTGTTGCATGTTGATAGTTGATATAATCAACTCCAAGTCTTTGCTTTCACTTGAGCAAAATATTTCAAAGAATCTTTAAAACAATTATTCATTTGGGGTGTGTCGATACTTGATCAAACCAACTCTAAATCTTTCTTTTCGATTCAAGAAACTATTTGAAAGAATCTTTCCAAGAACTATTCATTTCTCGAGTTTTGATGGCTGATGTAATGAACTCCAAATCTTTGCTTTGAATTCAGCAAAATATTTGAAAGAATCTTTAAAAGAATTATTCATTTGTCGTGTGTTCACAGTTGCTGTAATCGAGTTCAAATCTTTCCTATCAATTGCGCAAAATATTTGCAACAATCTTTTAGAGCTTTAGTCACTTGTTGTGTGCTGGTAGTTGATGTAATGAATACAAAATCGTTGATTTGAATTCACCAAAATATTTCAAAGAATCTTTAGGAAAATCATTCATTTGTCGTGTTTTGATAGTTGATGGAATCAACTAAAAACTTTTCTTTTGAATTGAGGAGAATATTTGAAAGAATCTGTGGAACAATTATTCATTGATGGTGTATCCATAGTTCATCCTGTAATCAACTAGGAGGAATTGCTTTGAATTGAGTAAAATATTTGAACAAATATATTGGAGAACTATTCATTTGTGTTGTGTTCATACTTCACAAGATCAAGTCCAAATGTTTTCTCTCAACTGAGTAAGATATTCGAAAGGCTCTTTAAAAGAATTATTCACTTGCCCTGTGTTGATAGTTGATGCAATCAACTACAAATCTTTGTTCTCAATTCAACAAAATATTTGAAAGAATCTTTGCAAGAATTATTGGTTTGTCGTGTGTTCATAGTTAATGTAATCAACTTCAAATCTTTGCTTTGAATTCAACAAAATATTTGAAAGTATCTTGTCAAGAATTATTCATTTGTCTTGTGTTCATAGTTGATTTGATCAACTTCAAGTCTATGCTTTGAATTCAATAAAAGAGTTGAAAGGATCTTACGGGGAATTATTCATTTGTTGTATGTTGATAGTTGATGTAATCAACTGCGAATTTTTGCTTTGAAGTCAACAAAATATTTGAAAAAATCTTACGGAGAATTATTCATTTGTCTTGTGTTGATAGTTGGTGTAATCAACTCCAAATCTTTGCTTTGAAGTGAGCGAAATATTTGAA